AGAAGAAGTAGACGAGGTCGACAAAGGTCCAGAGATACTGATTTTGAATGTTTCGAACCAGGGGCAAGACGCTTACTGCAGCGCGTCAGTTCAGACACTCTTCAACAAACCTTCGACGCAGTCACAAGCAAATATATTACAAGTCTGAAATCATCGTCTTTCGGCTAAAGCCGAATATCATCATCTGTATTATTATTAAATAACTGATACAAATGGCACAGACTAACGCGGGGCACGAAGGGCCGGACAAGCAATAATTACGAGACGCATCAACTGTACGCACAACGGTAGCGGTGACCGAAGTGCATTCGAACTCCGAACACCACTAAGAGCACAGAGAAGCGTCCTCACTAGAACCAGCAGACAACAAGGGAAGCCTTGTCTACAGAATTTCTTTTTTCTGCAGGAAGGAAAGAGTTTCCTAAAAGCTGCGCTTTTAGCTATTCGAGAACAAGATTATAAAACAGCAAAGATCCTGTGCTTTGTAAGCGGGAAACCGCTTCCAACCTGCACAAGCCGGCAAGAGAAGCAGAAGCAGCTGCAGGAAACGAATTGTTTTATGAAGCCAAGGGGCTCGTTGAGGAAGCCAAGCGCTTCTTCGACCAAGCATTAACATTGTCCAGTTTGGAAATGTTTACCACATTCTTTCTTTTTCTTTTTTCTGCAGGATGCAAAGGATAAGATAGAGCAAATTTTAAAATCAGAACAACTGGAGGAAAAGGTTGACTTCGCCATAAGTATTTCTCGCAGAGCTGCGGACGACTTGCAGAAAGTGGAACGTATGTATTTTAGACAAATTTTCAGTTTATTAATATAAAGTTTTGAGACAGTCTTAAAATGTATTGTATTTTTAAGACCTAAAAGAAATTTATGGGACTCGATGTAGATCAGAATTCTGAGACTGATCAGCAGTCAGATGCGTGAGTGGAAAAGTGTCTTGCAGTTTGTGAACTTCCTTTTCAGCACAGCTGATTTGTGTTTGAACTTTGTGTCTCCTCATGTCACACTGTAGATACTCAATAATTTTTAATAAGACTGACGTCTAGTAAGCATAATGATCGTTAAAATAACGAGGTCTGGAAATTATTGTTGTTTTTAATGTGTTCACAGACTTTCTGAATGGTGGAGACTTACATGACCTTCTGGACCATGAACAGAAACTTCCAGAGGATGATGTTAAATTCTACACATCGAAGATCGTCCTCGGTATCGAACACCTGCACAAAGTAGGCGCACTGCAGCCCTCGCCAATGAACTGCCTAACAAATACAGTATTTATTTGTTTGTTTGTTTGTTTGTTTGCACATTCATATAGCCCATTTCTGTGTCGGGTTGAAAATGACAGCCAACAGTTTGGGGAATCACGATTGTTTTCAGTAAGTAAATAAATAATTATTTTTTATGAGTTGTGTTAGAAAGGGTCATTTGTTAAGATCACACGGTTCCTGTCCCTAATCCTCCCCCCTCCGCCGCTTTCAGACTCAGTGACACGAAACTTCCTGACTCATGAGCATAGTCATAACTTAATAAATAACAATAATTGTGGAAAATTAGTCAGAGCAGCTACAGTGTAGCAGAAAAGCAAACTGCTCGGTGTGCATCTAACAGCCACAATAAGTACGGAAACACAACAGAACATAAGCAATTTGTTATTCCCCCCAGATGGGCTTCATCTACCGTTCTTTTCTCCCATTGCAGACGAATTCTGGAGCAGGATCCGGAGATCCCGGAAGAGTTTTCCACTGACGCGAAACTTTTCGTCAAAGGACTGTTAACTAAAGAACCAAAGAAACGTCTAGGTGCAGGCGAGAACGGAGTCGATGACATCAAAAGGCACCGATTCTTCAACGTGAGTTCTGTCTCCGTGTCTGTTCTAAATGTTTCAGTTCTGAACTGTGTCGTTGACTTGTATTAAGAAAATCAAGGTTTCCCCTTACTTCGTGAGCAGAACTCATCGTGTGCAACAAATATCATAACACTGGCAGAAGTTGCTTCAAGAGTTCACAGTAACAAGTTAGGAAGAGAATGCATAAATCATTGACAGATGCCGTTTTAAAGAAACAACCTCTCACCGCACGCCTTAGATTTCCAAACAACTCGGTGAGACCGGGCTTCTACTTAGATATCACTCCCCCCTCCCCATTAGTAAGCTGGTGTCGGTAAGTGCCCCAGCTTACTAATGACCCTCCCGGGATCCGGGCAGACTCTTTGTTCTGTCTGCACAACTGAAGTGTCTGTTCAAATGAGATGCTCCCAGTTGAGCCTTGCCAGCCAGACATTCACTCTGCAATCACCGTTAATGCTCGAGCTTCATCCCACAGAACATCAACTGGGCTGAAATGGCTCAAAAAGCCGATTCAGTCGGTTTTTCATGACGCCATGTTCCTCGGCACCGAGGACAATCACCATCCGCCATCCCATGCTCGATCCCAAGATTGTGTCCCTTCATGATCAGGTGAGATACGTGACGTAATTTCAGAACAAACCTACTTTTTGTGCCTCATGTTTCCTCAGATGAGTTTCACTTCAAATGTGCCCAGAAAATGACACCCCATGTTGACGATGGTCCTCTGCGTTGTAACGCCATGTGCACACGTAAATACATTTCTGCATTCCGGAGGAACATACTGCCTCCATCGCCATCTCTCAAGATGGTATCAGTACTTTCTTCCTAAACTTTAGTACAGAGGCGTCTGATGATGAGAGTTTCCTTTTCCACCCAAATGCTTCATCTGCTTGCAGAAACTGTTGTTCCAGGTCACATAATTAGTATCACGTTTTGTTGAATTTGGATACGATAAACAAAATTCAGGGGCACACGGATAATGAAGAAAGTGATATGATTTGCTAGAATAAAGGCTTGTACCACACTGAATTCTGTCAATGCAAGTTAAAATGTTCTTATTTAGAAAATCGTCTGGTGTTGTCTTCCATCGCCTGGGCAAAAAAGTGGCCTTCTGCCCCACATTCATTTGACTCAGTTTATAAAACTGTTTGTTTCTTTGTAGAAAATGCTATAACATTATCGTTCGATCTAGTGAGTAGGGGAAGTGAGGGGTATCGCGTCCGTTACTCTTGCGTTTAGTTTGAAGTCCACAGTTTTGTTCTAGCGCTGACTGAAGACGTTTGACATGTAAGTATGAGGTGTTCTAGGAATAACTTCTATTCAGGAAATAGTTTAGAGAAAGATGTGACATTCCAATCTCAGTGTCGTGTTATCACATCAGTGTTGGTAGATTAAGTAATTCTCGATGACTGCGTAGGCTAGCCAGTGAGTAACCCTACCAATATAGCGTAATTGTTATGACGCGAAACTAAGTACTACAGAACTGTTTGTGACCGCGTGTAATTTTAGTTAAAGTATAATATTTTCTACGAATAACTTCCATTCGAGAAAAAGTGTGGTTGAGGTAAACAGATTAAATATGCCTCCGTCATTTTCTATCGATTACATAAAGGATGCATTACTGACAGGGTAATTTAATGGGAAACATTGCATTGTGATTTCTCTTACATTAGTTAAATTTTTGAAAATATTATGACGCAGTATTTGGTACGTTTGCGACAGAGGGAGAGAGTCACGCGGCCGCTCCCCTCCAAAGCTACCCCACGGGTGACACCAAGCTTCACACAGAATTGTATTGGAAGCCTAATACTGAACGTGTAACATTCTCTTGTAAGTATATTAGCAAATAACTTCGTTTCAAGAAAATGTTTAAGGAAAGATGCATGTGATTCTAATCTCAATATCTGTGGCTTGTGTTGTACCACGGATCACATACAAGCGTTTGTATTTTTGCGACCTGTAGATAATACAGGTAAACGAGCGAAATTAAATATTCAAACACGATAGTCATTGTCAAGTTCTAACCGTGCAGATCACGTGGCCCAGAAACAATTGAAATGACTTGGGATAAATTGAAACCTGGTCAGATGGATGACCCACCAGTCAAAATGGCGAGTGTATCAGGTGTTGACAGCTTCAGTGTTGAAGTTCTGGTAAAGGTCACAGCAGATGTGAGGAGGGGAGGGGGATTGAAACTGAATAATCGCATCAGTTGCTGATCTGTGTTGATTTTAATTTAATAAAAACTTAAACGTTAAAATATTATCAGAATCTTGTAAAGAAACAAGCTAGAGACACCACCAGAAAATATAACAAAATCATAATAAAGAATAGCTACTAAATCCCTCGTAAGTGTCTGAAGATCCAATTCAATGGGACCCAACGTTCACACTTTTCCGGGGATTAACGAAAAATTGTGTAACTGTGGGAAATATTAGGAAAAGCAAAAAGATCAAGCTCTGTACTTAACCTCAATACCCAACAAATAATGTAGGTAAATTATTAGGCAATGTAGGGCCAT